ATTTCATGCTTTTTTACTGTCTGCCTTAATTATCCAAATGCTGAACAAGTATAGTCTTTTGATTGATGAGAGTTCCACCCCTTTACCCACACCCCTGCAGATATGAGGCTGCACAGTTTAGTACCATAAATCACTGTGATTGTATAACTTAACTACTGTATGATCAGAGATCACATGCAGTGGTGGCCTGGATATGCATTCATCCTTCGTTATGAATGTTTTAGGGCTAAATTTATTCTGGATGTTTGGAGAAATTTCAGTTTCCTCACTTAAGAAAGCAATGCATTTTAAATAAGCAATTCTTGCAACAACTGGAAATAATCACAAAAGTCTTCTATTTGCAATCTTCGTTAATGTGAATTATTTCATCACTTTAGGAGGAATCTTTTCAGAGGAAAACAACAATTAAACCCCTCCCCCCCAGGCTCTGACAGCTAAGGATCTATGGATCAGCCATTTTAGTAATTAACCACAATTCCTCTGATTTGTGAATTTCCAGATGATGAGGCAGGAAGCAAGTTACATCTTGGAGAAATTGCCCTCGGGAGAGAGGAAAAACTATTGCGAGGTTGACAGCGCAACCTTGTACCGGCACTGTTTCCCTTCCCCAGTGGTTCAAGGAGTTCCAAGCACCCTCCTGTAAATCATCAGCTCACATCTATTTATTATCTTCCAGCCCAGTGCACAACACTATCTGTTACACACGGATACCAGCAATATTGCAAGGTGGACTCAAGGGATAAAAGACAGCAAACCCTGCACACCTCCTATGCCTGAGTCACACCCACTATAAAGCCAGGCTCTGTTCATAAAGCACATGCTGTTGTCAGAAATGAAATAATATGAACTGTTGTGGTTCAGAGCTGAGTTTTTTTAGTGTTTCTCCAACATGCTTGATCTTATCATCTTGGTATCTTTGTGTTATTATACAGAGACAAAATTTATCTGCATAGTAATGGACAAAGTGTCTGTGAAAATATTACCATTCATTCAATGATTGTTATATTTGGAGTAGGCACCAGCCTCACTCTGTGATGCTTGTCCTGGAATATCAATAAATAAATCATAAAAGCCAATGCTTCAAATATTGAAAAATTCACACTTCAAACTGTGTTTTGAACTATACTGAGAGCAATGCCTCAGATTGTCCTTTTGCTTTATATGAACAGAGGAAATTCAAAGTAGGAGGAAGTCTCTCCCGGGATTTGGCATAGGGGAGTGCCACAAACCATCAGCCTTCCTGTCTCTGCTGTGCCAACGAAGCCTCTCCTGGGATGTACCACGAGAAGCAGACAGTGTGTCTGGGGAGTTAATGTGCCTTCAGATGAAATTATCTCCTGCAGAATCCATCTTGCCCGTTGTTTGAGTGCATGCAAAGGAACCAGGCAGTGGTGAGGAGCCAGGCCATTGCAGGGCAGGTGAAAGCTCAGAGAAAAGTAGAAGCCTCTTCCTACGACTCTGTTAAGTGAAGTTCCTTGCACTGCAGACTTACACTGCTAGTGAAAATGGGACATCACGCCTCTTTCTCCTTCTGTCTGGAGCCCAAATTTGGTAAGAACAAACTCACTGAAGTCCCCACTCTGTTGCCCATTTCACTCCTCACTAGTAGTAGATACCTAAATTATATGGTGTGATTGACAGCACTAAAAGGAGAAATGAGGGCAAATGTCCTTCTGAAGAGTACACTCTAGTTCAAGCACGAGTGTTTGGGCTGATGCCCAAGTTGCGGAATGACTTTCCGTGGTTTGCATTGTGCGGGGGACCAGTAGGCAATTCTAATGGTTCTTTTTTCTTTAGCTTTAAAAGCACTGAAATTAGCTGAAAGCTAGAAGTAGGAATGGTATTTTGTAGTAGTTGTGAATGCAAAGCTAGATGAGCACTGGAAGACACTCAGGTACATCTATTCAAAGGCCAGAAGAAAAAGCACTGCAGGTATTCAGTGCTTTATCTGATTAGAAAACAGCCTGGCACAGATGTGATTTCTGCTCCATATATCAAGCTATGGCAGGCTTTTGCTGCTTCATTATGAAAGCATCTGAAGTAAAATAGGTTTTGGAACATAAAAAATGACAAATTTGGAAAAATATCTATATGCCAGATGGGTGTAGGAAGAATTCTTGTGACAAATATATTATTAAGGGAATATGCATAAGGAAAGAAACTGTGCCCAGTTCTTGCAGGGATGGACAGGCAGAAAGGTAGCGTCTCACTGCGTCTAATGTATTCTCATCTAATCTAAATCTAATTAATTATGTTGCATCGCTGACATACAATCCAGACAGTGCACACAACAATGGGAGGCTGCAGCGGGGCTTCGGGAGGGCTGGCGGCGCTTTGTTTCTGTCCTCGGGGAGCGGGGTCAGGCCGCCGCCATGCCCGCCGGGGGAAGGCCGCGCGGGCCGGCCTGAGCTCATCCCGGCGCCGCTCCCGGAGGCCTCGAGCGCACACCGCGAGCTCCAGCACGGCTTCTCCTTGTGTTTCCTGAGGAAAGAGGAGCGTTTCGGCAGCGCCTGTCTGACTGCACTGAAGCTTTCGGAGCCGAGTGTCTCCGAGCTGGGTCCTGCGGCGCCCGGGAAGCCGGCTCGGTGCACAGCCCCCGGCTGCCGGTGTAGGAAGGGCTGCTGTTATCTGGAGCTCGCCCACCTGAGCTCCCCGGCTCGGAACACATGGCGCTGTGTGGGACAGCTCAGCGCTGCAAGGGCTGGGGATGCAGGGAGCAGAGAAAAGAGGCTGAGCTCTGGTGCCAGGAGGACAGGAGGCAGCTCCGGGGCTGTGCAGCAGCCCGGCCATGGGGCAGGGCTGATGAAGGGGGTCCCTGGAAGCTTCAGCTTTGCCGTGGGGCAGGGCTGATGAAGGGGGTCCCTGGAAGCTTCAGCTTTGCCGTGTGGGGCCGGTAGGACCCTTCAGGCCGGACGGGTGGGGCCGGGCACCAGCCTGTAGAGCCCTGAAGAAACATCGCTGCCTCTTCTTGGAAGCAGGCAAGTTAGAATTTCAGCTTTAGTGTAAATAACCCAGAAAGACATTCACATTCCCATCTGGGTGGCTGACCAGATCTGATGAGGTCTTAATATCAGCCAGAGGAGCTGCAAGGAGATATTACACGCACTGATAGGGGTTTCAGCCTTTAGTCATTCCCAAAGATGGGATAGCATACCTGGTTTGGATTCAAGGTGCAAATGATCTAGCCATGATTAATGCGTTCAGAACTGTAACAGAAATGGAGTAGGAAGGGTGGTATGGCAATTGTATCATTTGGCTTCACATAATTTGATTTTACTGATGCCTCATCCACTATCTGATTACTCTTTTCCTATTTAAACCCAGCCAAACCAGGAGGCTTTTGCTCACGGGCTTTTAGTACTATTTTATTTGGCAGTTATGGAATAAAAGAATTTTAGTATTGCCTTAGAATTTCTCCTGACATCTATCACAACCAATCCAGCTCATATGTGGGTGAACTGTGTTTTGATCCAATTATAAAATTCTATTGGAGTCTTGTTACATTCTTATCCCATGTGCATGTTGAAAAATTCAAGAGCAAAAGAAAATTCTACAAAATGTTTCTCATTTACTGTAGGCTTGGAGACGCAAAACTGCATCACACAGTCATTTGTAGAGGCTAATAGCAAACTAGAAAAACAACATATTCTTCAGGAGAAAACCCACCCTTTTAATCAGCAGCAAAGCTTAGAGGAAGAATAGTACAATCTGTGTATAGATATTACTGACAGTTGTCTTTTGGAGACACACAGCCTTACTTTTGTTAATTGTAGCAATGAGAACTTTGTTCTCATTTGTTCTACATCCCAGAAGTTACAATGAAAAAGGATCTGCTAGTCTGAAGACATTTTGGAGAGTGCATAAAAATGACAAATGTGAAAGACTCAGACACAAAATGACAAAGGTAACACATAGCTAATGTCCCAATGGATTGCAATGACTATAATACTTAAAAATGAAGATACTTTGCACACTCTTAGCATCTCTATAGCAAAAATGCATTATTAAATCAACAGCCCATGCACTATTTGATTACCATGATGGAGAAGTTGATCTAGGATATTTCTGTCTCAACACTTTCACTGTCTTCAGGCTACAAAACACAATAAAAGGAATTAGGTGTCTTCCTTGCTCATTGGCTATAGAAAGCCATGCAGAGGCCTAGCTTCATGGAGTACTGCTCCCAGGAGAGGAAATACACTCACTCCAAAGCTTTCTGGCTCTGTCCTAGTGGAGTCTCTCACACTCCTACAATCAGAATCCCCATCCCAAAGCTGAGAGGTGCCAGGACCAGGCCAGCAGCCCTGGGCAAGAGCCAAGAAACAGCGGCAGGGCCAGGGCCAAGTCTGGAGCTCAGACTTCCTCTGGGAGCTGTTCAGCCACATGGAAAAGCCAACAGCTCTTTGACTTTCCCAAGTACTGCTTGGAATTCGTCTCTTCCAGGTGCACAGGGATCCCCTGGCTGCCCCCAGGAGCAGGGGCGCTGCTGGGACGGACCTGTCAGCCTTGCCCAGCTGAGCTGTGCCCTCTCTTTGAACATTTGAGGCCGTGCTGGGGGTGGGCAGGACACGGGTGGCCCTGCAGGGTGCTGACCACAGGCACCCTGCACTGCTGGGCTGGCTCAGCCTGCCTGTGCTGGTGCTGTGAAATGTGCAGGGAGAGGCTGGGAGTGGAACAGCCAGGAATTGTCACCAAAGCTGAGCAACCCAGCTGTGTGCAAGGATGAGAGGTGCAAGTGTGCTCACAAACCGTATTAGGTCACTCCCAAGGCTGTCTGCTCTTGGTTACGTCAGTTTGGCCTCTCTGTGATTCCAGTAGCTTGATAGTTAGTCCCCTTTTCCTTATTTCTAGGGTACAGACAGGTTGTTTTACCCCCATTCTGGAATGCTGTGTGTTTCTGCGCCCCGTGGGAGGCTGATAAACGTGGCACCTCTCCCCATGGCTTCCCCTGGTCACTCTGAGCCCCATCATTAAGCTCTGACACAAAAATCTGTTTAGTCACAGAAGCAGATTGCTTCCACGAAGCGCAGAAATGTAATTTGCCAGTACTTAAGTTACAATATTAAATACTAACATGAAACTCCTTCCCCTTTTCAATTCTTTATAGCGAAAAATACTTGGTGTGAAATCTTGTTTCTACAAGGGTCAATGATAAAATCTGCATCAGTGACAGAGCAGCTTCTGCCCTTCCCATGGTGAGTGGTTTTATTGGTTTTGCATTTAAAGCTGTTCCAATGCATCAGTGCTTTCATTGCCAGTCCAGAGCACTCCTACACTTGTAAAGCTGGTGTAGCTCCATATTCCCCTCACCCTGGCCGTGTCCCAGGCAGCAGGACAGCCCTGCTGGGCTTTATTCTCCAGTGGCAGTGGCCAGTGTTTCTGCTCTGAGGCAGAGCACACTCCAAGAGCAGCCGTAAGCCAATACACCTCACCTCAGGCTCCAGCCCACTGTAGTTAATTATTAAATAATTCTCCTGGTGATGTTATCCAGTGCTGATAAATTACAGATTTCATTGTTTTGCCTGGAGCAGCTTTAAATTGTGTTAATTTCATTGAAGATTGACACTGGCTTTTATTTCCTTTTGCTACTGTTTTGTCCTGTAAAGCGGCACACAGTACAGACATCAGATTGCTCATATAATTGGTACAATAGATTTTTTTCTTATATTTAGACAAAATTTTAATCAGAGCCTTTGAAAAACCAAGAACTTTGAGATCAATAAAATACTAACAGTAGTGTATTAGAAGAAGAATATTACCACAAATCAAATAGCTTTTAAAACAACCTTATTGTTGACCATGTTTGTTTTACATGTGATCTCAGAATGATTTCTAATTTTATACAGCAGTGAATTTATTCCACCTACAACACACGTTTCTGACACAGGGTTTTCTCAAAAACTGAAGATAAAATACATTATACATCTTCCTGATGAGCCAAACTCTCATCGGTCTCATTCTCTCTTTTGGCAAAAGAAAAAAATATCCCCAGGTAGTCCTACTCTTTTCAGGCAGAAGAAAAAGGCTGTTTTAAGTTAGTGGGATCTTGATCTGTTCTTTGATGACAAATTCCACCTATTTTGGAACAATTAACATGAGATTTCAATACGTATTGAATAAAGCATATGGAAAATTTTTAGCTGTAATTTGCAACTAAAAAATTATATTAAATAATTTCTATACCAGGAACAGTGTGATACAATGCAGTAGACTTTGTGGTAAATAAGAGAAGGTTTTGATTGTGTACTACTGTAGCTCCCCAAGCAGAATCTTGAGTTCAACTAGGAAATGCTGAATAAAACTTCATATCTCTTCTGAGGCTCCATATCACAGCTGGCATTTTTAATAGAAGTCTCACTCAATATTTTCACTAGGGTAGCTGGGGTTTGCTTTGGTGGGTTTTTTTGTTTGGTTATTTTATTTGTTTTGGTTTTTTTTTTTTTTTTTTTTGCTTTTAAGCACATTGTATAATGCAGTCTAACCCCCCACTTTTCTGTAAATGTGCACAGAAATTAATTGAACAATAAATGAGGTGTCAGGTGCCCTGAGGCACTGATAGATATTAATGCCCCTGACCAGCCTCACCTGGGGTGTTCCACTCCCTCCAGGGTCTCAGAATTTCAGCTCAGCCCTTTACAGCCCCCTGTTTGTTGACAGCACTGTAGGGCTGCTGGTGTCCAGCTCCTGGCCTGTCACCCTGCTGAAGTGGACTGGCCTGGGTATGGTCCTCCAGGTTTGGTGACAGAGCTGTCCTGGCAGCATGGATCTGGCTGGCAGTCTCTAGAGGGTATCTGGTTTTGACCCTGCCCTGCAGAACATCCCCTAAGCTTGGCCCCCAGGCCTGTGTTGTTGCTAAGAGTGTATCTGATGCTGGGACTTGAGGCTGCCCTGCTCTCCCCACCAGCTGTTTTGTGGCTGGTCCTGATCCTGCCTCTCTGTCCCACTAGAAGAAGACGTGGGTTAATTGAGGTAAGTAAATGCTTTAATAAAGTTTACTTAAGCTGGAGGAACCTGCCCTGCCCCATTTCTCTATAACATATTTCTTATCAGAAAGGCAAGATTTCTGAGGAGAATAAAAAAATAGCTAGATTTAATATGTTAGAGCAGTTGTTCTGCAATAGCTTTTCAGACCTAGTGTTCCAGACTTCTCCTCAGAGACATGGGGACAGGGATGCAGCTCCTGCAGGGATGCAGCTGGTGGAAGCTGAGCTGACACAGCTGCAGCTGAGGCTGTGCTCTCCCTTGATGTCCTGTGCAGCCAGCAGGTTTCTGTGGTAATTGGTGCTTGCTCACCTGCCTGATCTTGTGTCTACCTATTCTGTGCAAAGCCCAGCTACTGTTCAAGAACTTTGTAAATCAAAACACAAGCCTTCTGGTATGCATGTGTTTTGTGCAGGCCATGGTAAAATATTTGGGGTGGTGGTGGCTGGGAGCTGGGAAGAAGCTGGAGGGTTTGTCTTAGTTTTCTTTTTTTGGGACAGAGGGTTAGACAATGAGTATCTCCAAATTGCATGGATTGCTTCAAGAGAAGAACTACTGTTATTTGCAGCAGAATGAATCAAGTTAGAATTCTCCAAAATACCTCCTCAACAAACATCCAGCTCTTAAGAAACCTGGGGCGTTGTTTCATACATTTAGCAGAACAGCTTACACATGTAGGCCATTTAAAGAAATGGGCTAAATAAAGCACCTTATGTTGCATTTTTCCACCATTTAGAAAAAAATATGGAAAACAGTGTCACTTTAATGGTTTCCCTCTATTTTTGTCCAACTCCATACAAGGCTTATCCAGGATTACAGAGTGTAACTGCCTAAAGGTTTTGAGCCTTACACTCAGTTAAGTTACTGCTTGGGCAGGGTTTCCAGTTTTCCTTAAAAAAAATATGAAACATTCTCTACTTATTTTTCCAGATTCAGATACGGCAAGTTTGAAGAAGAAGAAAGAGCCTGCTTCTCTGGGATAGGTGCAGGGTTCTCCTCCAGGATATCTACAAGTGTATTTGGATGTGTGTCTGTTTAAATGTACTATTAGTGTGAAAGTAATAGAACAATATGGGCTTCACCCACAGAGTTGTAGACTGAAGCAGCTGCCAAATCAGATCCTTTACATGTGGGGTTTGATTGGCATAATCTCTGAATGTTTTTTGTTTCCAACTGCTCTACATAGATTAGCCTAGAAGATTAAAAAAACCTGTGGGTCCCTCCAAGTACTTGGGATAATATATTCTCATTTTAAAAGTATAGTTGAATATATTGAGTAAGGGAAAGAAAGGCATGAAATCAAGACTTTAGAAGCAAGGCAAAAAGTCACAATGTTTGTTTCATGATATATCTGGGATCTTACCACCTGGAGAGGTTTGAGAAGCAGACCTTCCAAATAAAAATAGCAGAATAATAAAACAACAGTAGTAAAAAGCAGTGGTGAGGTACTTCAAAAATCTACATTTTACAGAAGTGTAATCATGATTTAAAAATACAAAAACACTGTGACTCAAAAGAGGGAGAGCGTGGGTGTTTGCTGGGGATGAGTCAAAAGAGAAGAAATTTCAATTCCAGAAAGCAAATGCAAAAGATGAGGCTCTGTAAGTAGAGCCTGCAAAAAGGCAGACCAAATTTATGCATTTGTTCTGCATCCAGGGTTCACCTCCATGCTATGCAGAAGTCATTGATTAACTGACATTAGATTGAAATGGGGCAATTAGACAGAGTAAAATGTCTACAGCATAAATTATACAAGAAAAGTGTCTGAAGAGAGCCTCCCCTTTGTCTTTAAGACTTGCCAGCTGTTCCTTTTCTGCCTTGTGATTTTTACCTTTCCAGATAAGCATATTCCTTTCTCTAAATCAATCTGACGGAACAGAGCTAACTGTATATCACAGGGTACAGCTGTATGTCCAGATACATTTTTAATAGGTCAGCCAGTCCAGTGGCAAGATAGCACTGATTCATGTTAGCAGATGAGGAGGAAAATGGTGCTGTGGAAGCACCTACAGCAGATACCACTGCACACTTCCTTGGCCCTGGTTGCTTGAAACAGTTTGTCACATGCTTAAACTGAAACATGCGCTTTAGTCCCCTTTGTAGTCAGTGAATCAGGTGCTCAGTCTTCTACAGTATTGAAAATTAATTGCAGAAGTTGGAAATCCTGCTGTTTTCCAGTGTAAATAATGGAAGTAAATCACTGATTCATTGAAAAAAGAAAGCTGATGCAGTTCTGTGGCTATGCTGGTTCAGTGTTCTTTGCTTGTAATAGTGCAAATGTATTTAACTGCTTTTTTGCAACAGAAACAATGAAAACTGGGTGGGTTTTTTTTTAGAAACAGATTGCTTTTAGATTCCTCTTGTGGTTGTGGCTAACACAGTGTGATCCAAAAACACCTTAGTAGTGAATTCAGCTTGTTTGTAAAGGAAAGCTCCTCTTTGCTATGGTCCTGTGTGAGTGTCCATGCCATGAGCGTGCTTTTGCTCTTCCTCTTATCCCACTGCCTAAAGAGCTGTGGGCTGTTAATGGGGCTACCTGAACAAACCCTTCTACAGAAGCACAGAGTAGTTTGAGATGCATCCAAATGCATGAGATGCATCCAGATGCCATTTTCAGCTGCAGTTTTTACAGCCTGTATCCATTTACCAAGTCCGCACCTGACTGAATATGAATGGTCACAGCTATGGCAGCAGAGACACACTTTTATCTTTTTTGTATCAGCACCAAACAGAGTTTAAGAGGGGGAGATTTCTACAGCCCATCTTGTTGGGATGTCTGATTTGTTCTCAGGGGTTGTGTTTTGCTTCCTGTAAGGCTGCTCTGAGCCCTGGCAGGAGTGGGAAAGGCAGCCTGCCCTGATACGCTGGGGACTGAGCTGGGCATCTTTACAGTGTGCACTGAAAGCCTCTGAAGGCTACAGCAGGTTTGGCTCTTGTCCAGTATAAGGAAAGCAAGCATCCACCTATTTGAACAATGCAAGGAAAGATCACCTGTCTGTGCTATACAATGACATGCACTGGGCTGTTGTAAATAAATTGGGCATTAAGCATTTCCTGATCTTCCCTTTACTCATGATAACAAGATTAATGCGTGAGCTTTTCCACTGTAGAATAATGTGCAATTTGTAGTGTGGCCATGTGACATGAAGACTTGATCTTTTTAAAGCCCAGGTTACTGTTTAGAAAATGGGGAAGGGGGAAATGGATGTTTAAAATTGCTGTTGGCTTGTGCAAAGTGCTTCAGCAAGTAGTCAGTCTTGTGCTGTATGCAAGATTTGATAGTGCATTTGACAGGCCTGAACTGGTGGTACCTTCTGGGTGACCTCTTCAGTTTTGCATTAAACTTTCAACATGCTTTCCATGTAATTCAAGTGGCATTTTAATCTGTTCCTTTTCAGGCCTTTGTATAGCAAGGCAGACTTGCTATTTCTGTGTGGCTCTAGCATGGCACTGGTTCAGAGCCACACAAACCTGATGGTGTCTCCCCACTTACCTGCAGCAGCCAATACCTGATTCCAGTTTTGTCAGGACTGCCTCAAGCATAGGAATTCCACAAAAATCAGATGTTTGTCCTATTTGTTCAAGTTTAATGTGCCCAGCCAAGCAAAAAGGAAACCAGGCAAACATTTGGCTAAGTGGCTTTTACATTATTTTTTTGCTGGGCTTTATCTGACGTGTCAGATGCACGCTTAGTGTTTTATAGACATGTCTCCCAGCCTTCAAAAATGCAGATTTATGATTTTGAAAATATTTTACCTAAGCTGAGAGCATTTAACTTTTCATAATTGAGTTGAAGGGTTGTACATATCTCACCCAGTCCAATCTGAAGAAAAAGTGAAGTGTTTCCATTTTTCATGTATAGACCATGGAAAGGTGAAGGTTGACTCTAATGATAATATATAAAACACGAGAGAGATGTAAACCAAGCCAATCTCATATGTGCTTGTTCTGTAATTTCTTGGTGGAAAGGAGTATTTATACAGCACTGAAGTTAAAATATCTGAATATCACAAAGCATGATGATTTTGTACAGTGAACTTTTATAACTCATTTGAAATGAACCTGTCAGTCATCGTTAATGGTCTGTGAAACCCTATCCCAAGCTGGTGCCAAGTCTTTTCCACAGAAGCATTGTGATAAGCTCTGCTGTGTTCACAGTAAATCAGGGAGTTTTGCAATGAGTTACATGATAAGCTTTGCAGGATTGCACAGTAAATCATTGTGTTGAACAATTACACAGTAAGCCTTCTTAGTTTTTTCTCTATGGGAGCATCTGTCAGTAATGGATAAAAGTCAATATTCATATTTTCATGCCACTTCTACTAGCCATCTCAAATACAATTTATGGACACTTGTTAAGGTTGGTGGTAAGACAGCTCTGTTAGCCTTGTGTGCCTGCACGTATGTGATATAATTAGTAAAGTACTGGGGGACAGTGCACAAGGAGCCTGAAAAAGTCTAAAGGCATTGCTGAGGTTTTCTCAGTGGTGGGAAAGGTACCCTTGGCTCTCAGTGGAGCTGTGCCAGTTTACACTAGCTGAGCTGACTTTTGTCTCAGTTCTTCAAGAAGATATGTACTAGGATTTCCAGTTTATGCAGGGATTCACATTTACTTAGCTCTACCTTGGTTTTCATTGTCCCATTCATTTTTTTTTCAGTCAGCGTTGCTATAAGCAGCATCTTTCCTCCTCAGCTCTGTTTTATTGATTCTAGTGGTTTACAAGACCATTTTTCTCCTTACCAGCTCCTCTAATGTGATTTGACCTCTGCACCTATTTGATAGGTCCTATCTCAATGTATTTTTTACCCCCAAATTTTAGCGCTTCAGCTGTCCCCAGGACATCTCCCACTGATGTTCCCTTGTCCTTCAACACTGCAGATGAACATAGCTTCTTGACTTTCCTGCCAGGCTAATGTCTGGTGCCCCTCCCTGCTGGTCTCCAGGGCTTAGACTTTTCTTGTTTGCTTTGGTTTCATCTCCTCCTCGCTCCCCATGTCTCGCTGCTTCCTAGAGACTTGCAGGGCCTATTGCCAAGAGCTCCAAACGTGCAGTTTGCATTATTCCTTCTTGGCAGAGCCTCCTAAACTCCCACTACTCCACCCTTTGTGTGCCACTTCAAAAATGCACACCTTCTAATCTTTCAATCTTGACAAGATGAAACAATAACAAACAAATGTCCTGGTGCCATTTCAGCATGGTTCCTTCAGGTGTATAAATTATTGGTGTCAGATTGCCCTTCAAAAGGGCAAGGAGTCATGTTTGCATCAATGCTGCCTCCATAAAGCATTGTGTACTGGAAAGGGCTATCATGCACCGAAGTGCAGGAGCCAAAGCCCCATCTGCAGCACAGCAGGGGCTGTAGCTCAGGTTTGTGCTGGCTGAAGGGCTGGTCTTGAGTGGGGACTGTGGAGTGCAAGCCAGGAGATAGTTTTTGAGACCCTTTTACCTCTTTTGGAAAGCCACTGCAGACACAGAAGGAAAAAGCCAAACACAGGAGAGGATCTCACTGCAAAATAATGAGAAATCTTGACACAATGCTTTTTGCTTTTAGAATGACCCTTCACATTTGTTTTATTGATGAATATATTGTTAGAAAAATAAAATACTTTGGTTCATGAGCTTAGAGCTGCTGCTGTCTTCTAAAACCTTGGCATGAGGCATTACCCTGTAAGCGTATATGAGATTTGCTAGTGGTAATCTGTCCTGTATGGTGGTGAAGTCAGGAAGGAGCTCAAGTCTCTGCCAGCCAAGGTTTGTTGCAATCACTGAAAGCAGAGTTTGTGATTTCTTTTTTTCTGTTTGAAGTCACCTTATTGTTTTTTATAGATGTTCAGTTGAGCTGTTTGTGAGGTTAGGAAGAGGGAAGGAGAGGTGAGAGATATGGAACCCTTTCTTGCCTGCATGCAAGGCAGATAATGTACAGCATACATTGCTAGCTTGAAAGTCCTCAAGAGGATGTCACAGGGCTCTGATGTAGTAAGACATGTGCAATATCCACACTTGCTGCCCTTATTTGAAATGTCATAAAATGGGATGTGTACACTTGGTGCAGAAGAAGGCTGTGCGGACTCAAAGTATGTGTAGGTATTACCTTACAGCTTTTTCTGTGTGGTGTGCATCTGTTGAGGCCAGACTACAGATTAAATCCTGTCTTGTAGCTAGTGAAAATACTGACACATGCTGTTGTATGAGCAGCCTCCAAACATGGCACAGAATATGGGTGTTCCCCTTTGGTAGGGGAGCTGCCTTGTGCTGGCATGCAGGAAGCAGGGTCCCAGGATGCAGTTTGGGTTTGTGATTGGGGTGTGTTTGTAAAACATGATGAGGGAATCCAGAGGGCTCTGGGAAAGCTGGAATGGGATGAGGCTGTCAGGACAACAATCAGACCTATATGTGACCCTCATATGCACAAGTGTAACGTACATATTGACACCAGCTTATTAAAGCAGATATTTAGAAATCAAGAGATAAATTTACAAAAGGGGTTCATACTTGGGAGCTGGGCCTTTGAAGCTGTTGTTCCTTTCTTTTACAAAAATCAGGAGACATGCTGAAATTGCAAACTGCCTTGTCATCCCTGGAATCAAATCTTCAAATGAAGAGGAAATCTTTTCTTTTTCCTAGAAAAGATGCACTCGCTGGGTCTTTTCAGATACCATTTCTATTTGTGACAGGAACTTTTTCAAGGAAATGAGCAGAAGGTAGAACAGCATGCTGCTTCTGATTGTACATTTCTTAATATGCTTTAGAAATATACACACTGGCAACACTTTTACAAGAAAATGCCTCATCTTTCATTAAAGAATGACTTATAAAAAAAGCCTTGACTTTTGTATGGCTGTGTATTTCATTAGGTATATTTCATACTTCTCTAACAACTCCTAAATGGCAAATAGTCCTGAGTAGTACTGGGAAAGCAATTTGCTTCAAATGGTTCATTTAGGTGAATTTAGCAATTTTATTTTGTATATAAACTGAAAAGCTTTTCTTAGCTCAGCTCTTCCACTTACCAGAATACAGGTGTTTAGTTATAGATCATGCAAAATTTCCGTAAGACAGCTTAACAAAACCAAAACCACTCACTTTCCAAATGTTATTTTTAATTACTCCGGGTACAATACTTGCACATTACCATGAGCAGGTAGGGTTAGATTATTTTCTACTAATAGGGAACACACCTGACTTCATCAGATTTCCTATAAGCTATAGGAACTGTGTGTGCCAAAAAGATCTCAGTGAACACTAACTCCAAGATAGCACCAGAAGTCAAGTTCTGAGTGTTTTATATAAATGTTTTTCCCAAAAG